ATTACTAGATTTCACAGAGACATGAAAATGAAATGATATAATAGATGCCAACTTTGGAAGTGAATTTGGGACGCAACATATCCTTCTACACAAGCACATATTTGAGTAGGAAGAAAATGGTTGAGGAAAGGCTTGATTGACTTTGCATAAGAGAAAGCTAAACTAAATATTGCATACTAGGATGTTTGGCATTAACAAATGAGGAGGCTATATATCCGTTATGGTTTCAATTACCGACGGCACCTAAACATCAAAGTATATGGTTATAAGTAAGCTTTAATTCATCCATGAAACCTTAACCAAAAATAAAGTTGTCTCTCATATATTAATTCCATAATAGAATAAGCAATGCCACATCATGCCAGCATTATGATCTGATTAGAATCTCATTCACAAAACTATATATTAAGGGAAAACATGAAAAGGATAAGTTCTACCTTTGAACATTAACATTACATAAGTTTACCAGCATATTAACTCCATATCTAAGTCATCGTCATATTGCACCTCATTGCAACTAAAGAAAAAAAACCTGTATTCAGTTAAATTACTTCACGTATCAAGACGCCAATTCCAAATCAGATAGCTGCAGAGACATACAAGAATTAGAAAATCTTGATAAAAACAACAAAGTCCACTTACTTTTCACATGCTCCCTTCCTATACTTGTCAGCCTGAAATATTTTTGCACCTCTGTCATACCAAGATTTTGTATAATTTGGATCTGATTTCCATTTCCTTTGATCTCTGCCAAGAAACAATAGAAAAAGTGGTCAGAATACAGAGTTTCAACGACATAACAAATAGGGATTGAAAAGAGAAATAGAAAAAGGTAGGTAGTAGAAAGTTGAGAAGCTTACAGGTTTCTCAGCATTCAAATACCATGGAGCAGAAGACATATACTGCGGGATATGAGGGTTAATCTCTTTCCCATCTTCATCTACTTCAGCTGGTGCAAGCCCAGCTTTACGCGCCTCCTCCAATTCAAGCTGTTTTCTATGGTCCTCCCTAGATTTGAAAACCGCTGCAACATGAGAGCAGGTGTATATAAGTATGTTTATTTTCTTAAGCATCGTCTAATGCCTTCACAGAAAAGATATGTAAAATTACACTGAAGACCATGATTCCACAACCATTCAGCTTAACATCATCAACTTTATCGTTAACATGTTTCTTAATCAAAAACATATTTGTGTCACTAATAATGGTTTACCATCATTCAGTTTTCAACTTTAGATGGTCTTGTGTCTTTCCACAATCTAATCATTCAATTATGTTGATGAATTTTTTCACTTCTTTTTGAGTTTTATTTTTTTCAAATTAAAAAAAGAGCATCTATTTGGAATTCAATTTAGAATGATCTGAACATTTTTCCTTTGGAGCCAAATTGAGGCCTTAGCCCTACACTATGTTTGGATTGGTGGAAAGGGACAGAATGAAATTGAACTTGCTGGAGTCTATTCTATCCCATTCCTTCCCATACTCACACTTTCTTCTCCCCAAATTTGGGAGGTATGGGATAAAATCACTCTAATAAAGTTTTAACTCTTACCATTCCGTCCACTTATGAAACAAGGGAATGAAAAATTTACTCTGTTCATCATAAAATATCCAAACAATGGTATGGTAATTTTATTCCATTTCATAGCATTCAACCCGTCATTAGATATCCAAACGTAGCCTCAGGGATAGGTATGTGGTAAATAAACTTGCATATCTGAATGCAAGCCTATAAATAAGTTCACTCATTACAAGCTATAAGATGTAGCTACTTGACTCAACGATTACCACTTCAATCTGGGAATTGAACACATAACTTAATACAAACTACCCGAATCTCTCACCACTAGACCAATCCAAGTGGCTTTGCCTGAAACTTGACTGAAACTCAATGGAAAAGTGGTCCCATTCATTGTATAACATAAAACCTCTTAGCATCCACGGAATGTTTAATTCATTTTATGCTACCCAAATCTTTTAAAAAACAGTCTTGAAGAATAAGAGATCAAAATTGATGATTTGTTTTGATAATCAATGTTGACGAACTCGACAAGTGCACCGGTCGTACAAGTAATAAAGTGATAAAGTAGAGTTGTCGATCCCACGAAGACTGATGACCAAGCAATAATCTATTTATTTAATTAAAGTTGGATCGATCATTAAAGGTTTTCTTGAGAATATTGTGATTAAAGTAAAAACAGAATTTATAAACTTATTTTTGGTTTTTTAATATTTTAGAAATTTAATTCAGAATTAATTAAAGCTAAAAGGAATTGATTTAAGTTTTCAATAAAAAGGCGTAGTTAGGATTCAACTTCCCCAATGGTTTCTTAACGAGTTTGCTTACTCTTACGATTACATTCAAGATTAAATTATTAACAGCTCTTTCTATAATTAACTAAATCCCAATCCCTTGGTAATTTAATTCTTTATTCTAATCCAAAGCCTAATCCCTTAGTACTTTTTTCATAAAACAAGCATTAACGCCAGAACTCACAGTTATAAAATTCACAAGTCTATCCCTAGATCATGCGAATTCTAGCAATCAACCAATCAGAATCATATACCAACATCCCTGTTGTCATATATGACTCATGTGTTTATCTACGAGTGATCAAGTCATAAATAATACTAAGCATAAATATCAGATTGATTGCATAATTTAGAAACAAGAATGTAATTCATAAGAATAAACAAACATCAACTAAGAACTCATTGGTTCTGTATCTTCCTAACTACTAAAAGTAAATTAGCTAGACATAATTATAAATGCAGAATTGAAATAAACAGTAAAAGAAATAAGGTTCATCGTAAAACTTGATTAATGGAGACAAATGATGATGCAAATTGCATTCGTTCCTTCTCCTCTGCAATGCTCCAGCATTCCTCTTCGCTCCTGCCTTCGTCTTTGTCTCTGACTTCGTCTTTCTCCGTGTTCCAGCATTCCTCTGAAATAAGTCCTCGCACCATTTGCTCGCTTTAGCTAAGAACTTTGCAAGCTGCTCGCCCACTTGCTCGCTTTAGCGAGCAGTGGAGCGAGCGTTACCAATTTTATTTTATTTATTATTTAATCGCTGATTTCCCCGTTGCTCCGCGTATTCGTTGCCTCATTTTGTTACTTTGTTATTCCAGTATTCCAATCTCAACAACCTGAAACAACAACAAATATTTAGAATTTGTTTATTTGTTGGCAATTCATTCTGTTTTACTGTTTTATTGTTTTAATACTATATTTTTAACTATTTTAATAATTATTTAAACTCTTTTTAGCCATAAAAACATAGTGTCTTAGACACTTATCAATCAATAATTGAATTCTCTTACCATTTTCTAAATTGGCTGTCACATTTAATTACTCATCTATGACAGTCATCCTGCAACTTGCTATTAGCTAGCATGAATGTTTATGTTGTTTTTTGGGGAAAGTCAAATAATTGTTTTAGAATGTTAGTTTCATGCATCTAGATATGGAATGCTGAATATTTGACGTGGTATGGTTAAACCATTTACTAGGACTATAAAGACAATGGAAAACCATTTCATGCCATTTAATGAAAATATTATTCATTGAAATATAAAGCATTTAAGAAATAAATGAAAAAAGTATGAAAATTCGGAAAGCCAGTACCTGACGCAGTTGCCATGTCTGATGTTTACAGAATGAGACTTGCAAGAAAACAGAAATAACGATGGACGTTGTAGAACATTCTTCAATGTTCGATGAATATACATTATGTTCCTGAAATACTAATAATAGAATGGGCCTTGGACTTTCATTGGGCCTCTTGTGTTTATTCATTGACCAGCCCAACACTTCATAGTAATTATTCAATCTAAATAGCTTCACATGTCTCTTCTCTTACATAAAGTAAAAAATCAAAATGGTGATCTTGGTGTACGTGAGTGAGTTGAGTAGGTGGAAGTGAGAATATGCATTTGATCTGTCCCGAACATAATTGTCTCTCGTGAAAGATATATGTAATTTATAAAAAAAAATCAAAATATTTTAAATGTCATTACTTCAGTGTCAATATGATTAAAAAATGAAGATATCAAGACCAGAAAACCTTACATAAAACAAGAAGAAGAAAAATGACTCCATGAAAAAAAAATTATTCTTGATATGAATAGGTTGATCTCTCCAAATTAGGGTTATATTAATGTTATTATTGAATCAAGAGATGCTCTCGAATACTAAGTTAATGCGAGTTGAGGGGAGAGAGTTACAACTTTTTTTATTATTTAAATGTATAAATTCAAAATTTCCATTTTTTTTACACTTACTTGTTTATTGAAATTTTCAATAAATCAATGATGTCTTAATAAATAATAAAGTAAATTATTATTACTTGAAAAATTAAAACCGTTGGATACCAAATTAAGTAATAATATAAGTAAAGTTTCTTTTGGACCTTTAACAAAAAATACGATCCTTATTTTCGTCTCCAAAAAAAAAAAATAACTATATTAATTATTTTTTAGGGATTAAATTGAATCTTCATTGAATTTCTTGAGGAGTACATTTTCAAAGATCTGAAATTATAGAAGGATTAAAAATTAACTTTTTTTTGTATGAGATAAAAGTGAAGATGATATTTTTTTATTAAAAACTTAAAAGAGGCTTTACTCTAATGATTATATTGTAGTTTTTTATATGGGGATTAGGCATGTTAACAGAATGTTCTTTGTCCGCATGGTGCAACCGATCAGCAATCTTGATTCTTGTCATTTGATATTAAGGAACCAAAAGCGATGTCGTTCCATGATGTTTCGGGGGCGTTTGGTACAAAGATTTTGGCCAAATTCTTGAAAAATTAAATTTTTTTAAATTTTAAATTTTTAGATATTATCGTAAATTGAATATAAAAATTATATTTTTAAAAATCAAAATTTCCGAGAAATTTTTTTTTTTTTTTTTTCATCTAACAAACGGCACCTGAGGTTAAAGCGTGGCATTGGCATCTTCACAAATAAAAAAATAAATATTAATTACATTAAAGTCTTGCTGCGTTCACACTCACTCTCTGATCATCACTAATATTCTCTTCCGCTATTGCACTGTGCCCTTCTTTTTCTTCTTCCTATTCTTCATCTTCTTCTTTGATACAAAACCAATGGCCAAAGACCCGATTCGTGTTCTTGTCACCGGTGCTGCTGGTACTTTATTCAGAATCGTCACTTATACTTTTGTTTTCTGTTTCATTCGCCTCCATATTTTATGTATCCGTGTTTTTGGTTCGGTTCCCTGATAATAAATTCTGAGTTTATGTCAAAATGATGCCTTTGTTTTGTTTTGGAGATCTTATATTCTGATATTGGTTCAGATCAGATCGGATACTATGATGTTTCATGCTTTAGAGTTGTGATAAAGCTTGAGACTTTTTTTTCTTCCCTATATTTTTCGGGTAGAATGGTTGATGAGTATTTTGTCTTAATTGGCTTTTTTATGAGCTGGGTTTGGTTTATACTAGTAATTGTTCAAGATGGTGTTGTGTTGGGACCGTTTTGCACTAGCACTTGGTATCTCTTGTTGTGCTTTCTCTTTGAACGAATAGGAAACGTCTAATTCTGTGACTTTCAGTGTGGAAAGTTGACTTTGTAAATGCTCCTGGTTGCAAACAGTTGAAATCTTTTTGGAAAATTTTAATAGATTTACTTTCACTGAATTGAAAATAAATCCCTTACAATGTTCAATTTTTTTGATAGCACACTTCATTTTGTAGCATTTCTGTAATGGTTTTTTGAAGTCTTGTTTTGAAAGAGGTGCTTTTGTACTCTCTTTTCTTAGTTAGGCCAGGATTTTGTGAACGAAATATTGAAGTGTTTTTTATCTTGTTTCCTGAAGAGTTGTAGCAACTTAGGTTTAAGATAATCCTTTGAAGTTGGTGTGCCAGTATGCATCAATGTGGTTTTCAGTTGCACTGTTATATTAGATTTTTATGTTTGTTGGAAAAAATTCATATTTAGTGCCACTATCTGGATCTCTTGAAAATCCTTTTTAAATCTATCTTTGTACTGTTATAAACTTTCTAATTTGACTTTCTCAAACTTTTCCAATGCCATTTTGTTGAGTGGTGTTTTCTCTTGTATGAGGATTGGGTTTTGTAGTAAGATGATTTGTTGCTTAAGACCCTGTTTGGCCTGGATCTGGACACAAATAAAAGTTTGCTCGTGTTCATTTTATAAAAGTAATATTTAAATTAGTTTGATACAAAAGCCTTGGGATTTTGCTGTACTGATGAAAATTTTCGCCAATTTTAGGACAAATTGGGTATGCTCTTGTTCCTATGATTGCTAGGGGAGTAATGCTGGGCCCTGACCAGCCTGTGATCCTCCATATGCTTGACATTCCACCTGCAGCAGAGTCACTGAATGGTGTTAAAATGGAGTTGGTGGATGCTGCATTCCCTCTTCTTAAAGGTTTGAATTTCCCTCCTTGTTAAATATTACATGAACTTCATGGATAACATCTTTTAGACTTGAGATTGGTTTGTTTTGGTTGTTTAAATGATCTACAAGACTGATGTCTTAATGAAATTATTTGTTTCAGGTGTTGTTGCTACAACCGATGTGGTTGAGGCATGCACTGGGGTCAATATTGCGGTAATGGTTGGTGGGTTCCCTAGAAAAGAAGGTATGGAGAGGAAAGACGTGATGTCCAAAAATGTATCTATTTATAAGTCCCAGGCCTCTGCTCTTGAAAAGCATGCTGCCGCAAACTGCAAGGTGAACCTTTAAATCTGAATCCTTAGGCTCTTCTCTGCATGGATTTTAATTTCTACCACATGTATGATAAAATTATGTCCAATTTTGTACCCCCCCCCCCCCCTCCTCTTTTGGTTTTTATGCATCTCCGTAGTATTGATTGAACATTATTAATGTCATGGTTTCTATTTGGCGATGATAGATGTAAAACCAATATATATATTAGTAGCTTTGCGGATTCTAATTTTCGTGTCAATGAAGAGATTTATAGTTCAAATGCATTTGGTTGTATCCTTGGGATCCTGTTGAATTCATGTACTTAAGATGGAAATTTTCACTCGAATAAGCTGGCATGTTTTTTAAAACGTTCCACGTAATTCACATGTATAATTGGATCTTGTGTGTGAAGTCTTTGTGATTCCATCCTGATGAATATATATATATATATATATATATATATATATATATATATATATATATATATATATGAAAACAGATATTCATAATTCTTTGACTCTATATTGTCATGCAGGTTCTGGTTGTTGCTAACCCAGCAAACACCAATGCTTTGATCTTGAAGGAATTTGCTCCATCTATTCCTGAGAAAAATATTTCTTGTTTGACTAGACTGGATCATAACAGGGCACTGGGTCAAATTTCTGAAAGACTGAACATTCAAGTTTCTGATGTAAAAAATGTTATAATCTGGGGTAACCATTCATCAACTCAGTATCCCGATGTCAACCATGCAACTGTTATAACCTCTGCTGGGGAAAAGTCTGTCCGGGAACTTGTTGCTGATGATGCCTGGTATGGGGATGGGCAACTACTATGACTTACAATTTGAACAATTTTTATTTTGCATTTATTGAAGCATTGATGTAATTTTTCATTATTAAGGTTAAATTCAGAATTTATAACTACCGTACAACAACGGGGTGCTGCAATTATTAAAGCTAGAAAGCTTTCAAGTGCACTGTCTGCTGCTAGTGCTGCTTGTGACCACATTAGAGATTGGGTTCTTGGAACTCCTGAGGTTGGTTCTGTCTTACTAGATCTTTAATTTAAATTCCTTGTAATATCTTCAGCTCAGCTTTATTTTTTCATTTCAATTCCAGGGAACCTGGGTATCGATGGGAGTTTATTCTGATGGATCTTACAAGGTACCGGCTGGATTGATCTATTCATTCCCTGTCACTTGTCGCAATGGGGAATGGAAAATAGTTCAAGGTAAGAGTTTGGTTAATTAATGGCAAGAATGCAGTGAAACATATTGAATCTTTAATATGAACAGAATTTTTCTCTCACATTCTTAAATTTTATTTAACCATAAAATCACTATTGTAGATCTTAATACTTCATGCTCATATTTTGTCTTTGTTTGCAACTAAAATTGGACCACAATCGTCCTACTCCCTGGTGTGGTTGTGGAAAAGATGTAATCTTGTGCAATGAGAAGTTGAGATTAGGTGCTTTGTTAAAAGACTATTGCTATCCTATGTGAAATCTGTATGAGTTAGAGAAAGGTGGATAAGGGAAGCTCTAGCTTATCTGTCTGTGTTTGTTCTTGTTAGTAGACTGATAGTATGCAGAGAAATAAGGATAAACCCCAATTATAAAGATCAAAATCACTCACAAAACAGGAAAACAAAAGATGTGAGAGTGTCTCCCCTACCTTTCTCTTCCTTCTATCTTTGCTTCTAACCCTTTCCCTTCCTTCCCACCATCTTTGCCATGTAGGCAAGGTTGCTACAACCCAAATCCCTCTTCTACCCCTTATTCATAATTCCCATGTGGTCTAGCATAGGAGTGCCTAACATAGACCCTAGCTCGGAGCAGGAATAGAATGGTGTAATCTTTGTTGAAATTAGTATGAGGTAGAGGATGGTGGAGCAAGATTCCAAACTATTTGGCACAATAAGCATATCAGTTGATCCATTTGACTCCACTCCAAGTAAACATATGTTTTGGGTAGAGTCAAACAACAGCGTGCTTTATTCTCAGTCAAACTGTTGAGAAAAATAACGTATGCCAAATCCAAAAAATTATTTTAGGACTTGTAGTGTTGTGCTCAAGCCTTGATGTGTACTAATTAGCCATAATTTTTTTTTTTTAAAGCAATTATAGCTTTGGTGTATGTATATGGTGTAATTTCTCTAATTTTTAACCCAGGACTTCCAATTGATGAGTTCTCAAGGAAAAAATTGGACTCGACAGCAGAAGAGCTTTCTGAGGAGAAGGCTTTAGCTTACTCATGCCTCTCTTAGACCTCTTGTTTCTTTGCTTAGTGTCATTGCGGGTTCCCTTGTTTATCTATTCAATTTTCAATAATGCTCCTATAAGATACACACAAACTATTGTGGACATTGCTTGTATTGCAATGTCTAATCCCTTCTATGAGGATATTTGAGCTAATGTATTGGCGCATGTAATAGGCTACAGGCTGCATATTCAATGGGATTAGGCTTAACTTCCAATGCACGAGACTCCATTCCAATGCTTTATTTTCGTTTTTGGTCGGGTAGTGTCTGTGCAAGTTCTTAATTTGATGTATGAAAGTGCACAGGTTTGGTTGTATTTTTGTTTCGACAGATTAAAATATAATGCTAAATTTACAACTCACAAATAGGGGAAAAAATAATTAGTATGTAAAGTAATTGAGTTTTACGTTAATGTGACATTATTTTGATCTTGTCATAATTTGAATGTATCTAACACTTGAAAAAAAAAAAGTATCATTAAGAAGTAAACAGGTAGAGTTATTTTTCTATATTTCCACTGGATAAGATTTTCTTTTAAAATGAACTTCCCTAATTTAAGCACGTATATGTTTATTATTTTTGTAATTCAAAGTGCATGGTGATTTTGACTCATTAATTTCAAGGATAAATTCATCATCATATTTATTTTGGTATTCACCCGCACTACATGTTCGTCAATTCGTTTTTATTTTTCGTGAATATAAATATAAATAATAAAGAGTCTTTAAAATTATATATGAGAAATTGAAAATTGTTAGGAGGTAAATCCGATAGGAGAGTTAGAAGTATTTGTTATTATTTCTTAAATATCTTTTTAAATATTTAATGAATAATAAGATATATTTACAATTTTATTTTGTTTATATTTTTCTTAAAAAGATTAAATGAGTAGTTAAAAATAATAAATTTGAAACATTAAAAATTAGACATCAAGTGAGAAATCCTTTTATAGTATAGATATAGATACTGAGAAATGTTATACTTACAACTTTTTTTTTTACAATCTCTTATAATCATATCTTAACACCGTTGATTTTCGTCAATCAACGGTTATGATTTTCGCAAATTAAACTCATTAATTAATTATTAATTCACAATAAATGATAACCGTTGATTGACGGAAATCAATGGTGTTAAGATATGATTATAAGAGGTTGTAAAAAAAAAGTTGTAAGTATAACTTTTTTTTTGTAGATATTTATATATTTAGGATACTTCAGAATATGTGGCGCCTTTTGAACAATAAAAATTACCTTGATTCTTCTTACGAGATACGAGAAAAACAAAAAATGGATTTCTTATTTACTTTTTCTTATCCAATTAGATTATGTTAATCACATTCATCCAACTACAGATATCTCCCCTTTAAAAACTTTGCATATGCATCGAATCTTGTGACGTCATTGGGTGATATCTTTCATGGAAAAAATAAAAAATTCTTATGGTCATTCTAAATAAAAAGATACAGTCTTCCCCAAACACTTTTTCATTGGACTTGCTACATGAGCATCTCTTAGTAGATAGATGACTTGTCGTGTTTCAACTACATTTTTAACCTTGACTCCATTATAAAAGTTGAATTTCGTGTGACACACCTGGCATTATATGTCACTTTGGTAGGGCATATTGGCATATTCCTCATGATTTTATTGCCACCTTTCTTATTCTCATGATCAATATTTATATTACTTCATAGACTATCCAAAATATATAGGAAGACTTGTTTTGGAAAATCATCCGCAGCGCACTATGACTTGAAGCAAACAAGAGAAGACACCACCTACATTACTTGGAAAATTTCACGGAATTAAACCAGAAAGACTAGCTAGCATGCGGCACAAAGGACAGTAAATTTTTTTGGGTACAAGGAACATTAATTAATTGAGCTCAATTGAGAAAAAAAATAGAGTATTATAGAATCAAGCAGCTTTGCAGAGGATATTCGTGCAATTTTCTCAGCCAATTGTTAATGTTCAGCTTTAGGAATGCTGCACAGTGCTGAACTCTTGTAACTTTTTGCTCAAAAGACTGGAAACATTAATTGTCTATTAGTGGGAATTGAAAAATTAATACAGTATAGTATAGTCTTCTGAGTATGCTTTCGAGAAATTTAAGTGAAGTCTCGGTCTAGCAAAACCTTTACAGAGTCAGTCTTCCATTTATATATCTTTAAAGAGTCAATAAAGAATTTAATTAGGCACTGAACAGAAAACATTTTTCATTAGCTCACCAGTACTCATGACTGTGTGTGGAACTTATGTAAGACTTTTATGAGATATATACATGTAAGTGGTTAGGTTTTCTCTCACCTATTGGGTAGGATATTAATTTTCGCTCAAAGTGTTCACAGGCTTAAACTATTGAGATTGTAGAAGTTCTTCAGGCCCTGAACTTAACCTGACTTACCAATTGCCACACCCTTTGCCAGTACGCAATTATACTCAAAATTGTTTATTAATTTGCGTTTCAGTTTGATACTCTTTAAATAATATTTAATTGCATTTTGATTTTCTATCAAGGGAGTGTATTCGATTACAATTTTAAAAGACTATCTTGAGATAAAAAAATCTTATAGATCTTAAAAGATTTTTTAGAATTGCAGTGACTTTAAAGACTATTCGAAATTACAAGAGTAAATAAATTACAAGTTGTATATTTCATTTTATTTCTATTTCTTGAATAAATTTTCTTTGAAATTTTGTTCTGGTTACCTGCTTCCATCTTGAAATCTCAAAGAATGTTCTGGGAAAGAAAATTATTTTTATTTTGGTGCAACTGCTAGAAGCTTCATATTTAAACGATTTTGTTTCCTTTCTTCTCTTTTAGTTTGTTCATAACGAAATCTTAGAGGACATTCAGCTTCATTTTCAATCAAATGATCTATTCATTTGCACTGCTAAACTTAGGGATATTGATCGGTAGTATTAGTGGAAATTATATGATTTTAGATGTGTACTGTAGATGTAGGAATGCACACCAACAAATCATTAACCGAGATGGTCCCTTCCCATGTGGAGAAAACAAATTGGGATCACTATTTTGCAAATTAAGCAGCTAGTACTAATCAATAACAGTAGAATAGAAAAGTTTTGCTGCAGATATTGTGGGCTTTATATTTTATCATATAGTCTTATCATCTTTTTTTCTTGGAACATGTTTTTTCCTTGGACCAAAAGTTGTGGTTTTATGTTGGGAAATGTATTTCTCTTTCCATCGAGAGACTAGATTTTTTACAGCAATCAATTATAACTACGTCTATTTATAAAAAAAAATTATAATTATATCTTATCGGTAAGATATTGTTATAATTAACCCCCAAAGGTAACTCAGTTGGCAGCTGAGCTCCCAAGGAATTGTTTGGTGCAGGGATCAAACCCTGCCTCAAGCATTTTCTTGGAAAATCTTTGGGGGCCAGAGGATAAGCCAAAATTTTTTCGGTTGGGGGATTAGTCTCGTCCTTTCTCCGGTTGCGAAGCTTAGTGCACCCACTGTTACAATGAGGGACTAGCCCAAACGGGCCGTACCCCGAGGGCATGGTGCCCGGAGAAGGTTGAATGAGGATACCTTCTGGAAATGTACCAAAAAAAAAAAGATATTGTTATAATTTTAATTTTTTTTTTCTCTTCTCATAAAGCTGTCGGCTGATGCAATGAAGAGAGAAAAAATAACTCTAATTACAACTATATCTTACTGATAAGACATAGTTGTAATTGGTTGTTGCACAAAATTTCTTCTATAAGGAGAAGTTGGGACCCTTATGTTTCATAGATTTTGATGTTGTGGTCTGTAATTTTGTCCTAGTTTCTATTTTAGTTCAAATTCAACCTCTATCTCTGAAACATGGTTTAGTAATTATTCAGTTCAACACAGTTTTGTGACCTAATTTAACAAAAATTCTATCATAAAGACACCATTTTATTAATTAAATTTGTGTATCGTTGATTTATTTTCTTTAAACTTCCTCTCCCTCTATTTATATCCTAACTCAGCTACTGCAGTTAGAGGGCTAACTAGCAACCTATAAATTCTCTTAACAACTTTAACAAACTATATCATTCATGTCATGCTCATTATAATTTCTCTCGGTTCCATCAAGATATCTTAAAATTAATTATATAGTGTTTATAGACAAGAAAATGTTAACAAGAATTTTGCCTGTTTGAAAGGAGAAACATCATAGATTATTTGTTTATGATAATCAGCAATCATTTTCTCCTTTCTTTAACCTTAATTTGTTTATTTTTTAATTTATTTTGACTGCTGGTTGTACTGCTAGGTAAGCATAGTTGTTCTGACTATCCTAGGGTTTAGTGTTGTATTGCTGGAGTTTTTGTTGGTCTACATTATATATATTTTTCTTCTGAAACAGGTAGAGAAAAACGATCTTCCTGAAGAGAAACTTGTTTTGAGAGCAAACAAAGAAAGGATCGAGAGGCAGTTGAAAGATTTTTCGGTTTCATCTGCAGGGTTCACGAGATAAACAAAAAAAACATACTTTGGCTTTAAGAAAAAAAAACTAGGGCAGATTATGATACGCTGTAATAGAGAAATTTCAAAAAAAATCTCAGGGAATAGGATAAAATTGCGAGAGAGACATATTATTTATACTTCTTACTAAAAAAAGTCTCACAAAATTTACACTAATAAAAAATCTATTAAAATTGTCATATTTTTAAATACCACAACGTTATTTTTCCTTTATTTAAAATTCTGATTGAATACTATTGGATTTGGACAGACTCTAAAATAACTTTTTAAAATCCTAATTGAATATAACGTCACCTTTTTACAATCCTTTAAAATCCTAATTGAATAACAATGGATGTTTTTGGTCTAGAAATAATTCATTAAAATACTTTAAAATCTAAATCCAACAAACGTAACAGGGACAGTGGCCAAAGTGCCACTGTTGGCAAAAAAAAAAAAATACCAAAATGCCACGTTAACAGTAAATTTTGCCAAAATATCACGTGGCATATTTCGCTACACTGTGTAGCGAACTATGTGTGCAAATAATTCGCTACACGGTGTAGCGAAATATTCTACGTCAGAACCAAAAATGCCACGTGTCAAACAGGGAGAATTTCGCTACACAGTGTAGCGAAATTCTCCCTGTCTGACACGTGTCATTTTTGGTTATGCGCATTCTGACGCGGCATATTTCGCTACACCGTGTAGCGAATTATTTGCACACATATTTCGCTACACAGTGTAGCGAAATATGCCGCGTGACATTTTGACAAAATTTACTATTAACCTAGCATTTTGGTTTTTTTTTTGGAACAGTGGCACTTTTTGGTCACTGTTCCAACGTAACACCACATCCACTTGTCTCATTGAACAGTTAGTTACCTAGGCAGCCCAAGAGTTTACTTTCCGTCATCTACTAAATCACTTGCAAGTTGCTATTAAACAAAGTTCGCATCCATTTGACCGCAATTATTCTTCCAAGTATAATCAAACTAAAAAAACATATATATATGAAAGAAAATGGATAAGAAAACTCAAAAAGGGGCATGAAAATTTTGAATGCTTCACACACTGAAATACATCATTTATTGGTGTTACAATCAAATAACTCTAACCTAATTAAACATTAATTTGTAAAAAGCAAATGTTAGAGATTTGCTGTTTTGCACAATATACATTAAAAAGAAAATAAAGGTCAGTGTTTCCCTTGTAAATTACATATCCTTAGCATATCCCAATACTCTCTAGCTGGTTGGCTTTGTCAATGGATGACTCTAGCTCTTGCAGCTGTCCCCACATTAGAAATTAATGTACCCTTTCATTGCTTGTAACGGTCAAATTCAAGTTACCATGTTATTTAAATAATTTTGTGACGAAATTTCCGTCTTTTGCAACGTAAAAATTTCGACAAAATTTTGTGAGAAAACCAAGTCAAAAACGGGTCAGGTCAGATTTGACCCAATTCAGAAACCAAGTCAGACTCACTTCAGAAACCAAGTCAGGTCAGATCCAAACTGGTTTTGAACTAGTTCAACAAAATCCAATCCAAGTCAGACTTGACTTGGATCAAATTAAAGCGGGGCGAGTCAAAATACCTGACCTATAAAAACCAAGTTGAGTCGAGTCGGACAAAAACCTGACCCGACCTGACCCATGCACAGCCCTACTGCACAGTGCTGAACTCTTGTAACTTTTTGCTCAAAAGACTGGAAAACTTAATTGTCTTTTTAGTGGGAATTGAAAAATTAATACACTATAGTATAGTCTTCTGAGTATGCTTTCGAGAAATTTAAGTGAAGTCTCGGTCTAGCAAAACCTTTACAGAGTCAGTCTTCCATTTATATATCTTTAAAGAGTCAATAAAGAATTTAAGGCACTGAACGGAAAACATTTTTCATTAGCTCACCAGTACTCATGACTGTGTGTGGAACTTATGTAAGACTTTTATGAGATATATACATGTAAGTGGTTAGGTTTTCTCTCACCTATTATTGGGTAGGATATTAATTTTCGCTCAAAGTGTTCACAGGCTTAAACTATTGAGATTGTAGAAGTTCTTCAGGCCCTGAACTTAACCTTACTTACCAATTGCCACACCCTTTGCCAGTACGCAATTATACTCAAAATTGTTTATTAATTTGCGTTTCAGTTTGATACTCTTTAAATAATATTTAATTGCATTTTGATTTTCTATTAGGTGAGTGTATTGGATTAGAATTTTAAAAGACTATCTTGAGATAAAAAAATCTTATAGATCTTAAAAAGATTTTTTAGAATTGTAGTTACTTTAAAGACTATTCGAAATTACACGAGTAAATAAATTACAAGTTGTATATTTCATTTTATTTCTATTTAGAAATTTTGTTCTGGTTACCTGCTTCCATCTTGAAATCTCAAAGAATGTTCTGGGAAAGAAAATTATTTTTATTTTGGTGCAACTGCTAGAAGCTTCATATTTAAACGATTTTGTTTCCTTTCTTCTCTTTTAGTTGTTCATAACGAAATCTTAGAGGACATTCAGCTTCATTTTCAATCAAATGATCTATTCATTTTCACTGCTAAACTTAGGGATATTGATCGGTAGTATCAGTGGAAATTATATGATTTTAGATGTGTACTGTAGATGTAGGAATGCACACCAACAAATCATTAACCGAGATGGTCCCTTCCCATGTGGAGAAAACAAATTGGGATCACTATTTTGCAAATTAAGCAGCTAGTACTAATCAATAACAGTAGAATAGAAAAGTTTTGCTGCAGATATTGTGGGCTTTATATTTTATCATATAGTCTTATCATCTTTTTTTCTTGGAACATGTTTTTTCCTTGGACCAAAAGTTGTGGTTTTATGTTGGGAAATGTATTTCTCTTTCTATGAGAGAACAGATTTTTTACAGCAATCAATTATAACTACGTCTATTTATAAAAAAAATTTGTAGCTATATCTTACCGGTAAGATATTGTTATAATTTTAATTTTTCTTTCTCTTATCATAAAGCTATCGGCTGATGCAATGAAGAGAGAAAAAATAACTCTAATTACAACTATATCTTACTGGTAAGACATAGTTGTAATTGGTTGTTGCACAAAATTTCTTCTGTAATAAAAGGAGAAGTTGGGACCCTTATATGTTTCATAGATTTTGATGTTGTGGTCTGTAATTTTGTCCTAGTTTCTATTTTAGTTCAAATTCAACCTCTATCTCTGAAACATGGTTTAGTAATTATTCAGTTCAACACAGTTTTGTGACCTAATTTAACAAAAATTCTATAATAAAGGCACCATTTTATTAATTAAATTTGTGTATCGTTGATTTATTTTCTTTAAACTTCCTCTCCCTCAATTTATATCCTAACTCAGCTACTGCAGTTAGAGGGCTAACTAGCAACCTATAAATTCTCTTAACAACTTTAACAAACTATATCATTCATGTCATGCTCATTATAATTTCTCTCGGTTCCATGAAGATATCTTAAAATTAATTATATAGTGTTTATAGACAAGAAAATGTTAACAAGAATTTTGCCTGTTTGAAAGGAGAAACATCATAGATTATATGTTTATGATAATCACTAATCAGCAATCATTTTCTCCTTTCTTTAACCTTAATTTGTTTATTTTTTAATTTATTTTGACTAATGGTTGTACTGCTAGGTAAGCATAGTTGTTCTGACTATCCTAGGGTTTAGTGTTGTATTGCTGGAGTTTTTGTTGGTCTACATTATATATATTTTTCTTCTGAAACACGTAGAGAAAAACGATCTTCCTGAAGAGAAACTTGTTTTGAGAGCAAACAAAGAAAGGATCGAGAGGCAGTTGAAAGATTTTTCGGTTTCATCTGCAGGGTTCACGAGAGTAAACAAAAATAAACATACGACTTTGGCTTTAAGAAAAAGACTAGGGCAGATTATGATACACTGTAATAGAGAAATTTCAAAAAAAATCTAAGGAAATAGGATGAAATTGCGAGAGAAACATATTATTTATACTTCTTACTAAAAAAAGTTTCACAAAATTCACACTAATAAAAAATCTATTAAAATTGTCATATTTTTGAATACCACAACGTTATTTTTCCTTTATTTAAAATTTTGATTGAATATTATCGGATTTGGACAGACTCTAAAAGAACTTTTTAAAATCCTAATTGAATATAACATCACCTTTTTACAATCCTTTAAAATCCTAATTGAATAACAATAGATTTTTTTGTTGTAGAAATAATTCATTAAAATACTTTAAAATCTAAATCCAACAAACGTAACACCACATCCACTTGTCTCATTGAACAGTTAGTTACCTAGGCAGCCCAAAAGTTTACTTTCCGTCATCTACTAAATCACTTGCAAGTTGCTATTAAACAAAGTTCGCATCCATTTGACCGCAATTATTCTTCCAAGTATAATCAAACTAAAAAAACATATATATATGAAAGAAAATGGATAAGAAAACTCAAAAAGGGGCATGAAAATTTTGAATGCTTCACACACTAAAATACATCATTTATTGGTGTTACAATCAAATAACTCTAACCTAATTAAACATTAATTTGTAAAAAGCAAATGTTAGAGATTTGCTGTTTTGCACAATATACATTAAAAAGAAAATAAAGGTCAGTGTTTCCCTTGTAAATTACATATCCTTAGCATATCCCAATACTCTCTAGCTGGTTGGCTTTGTCAATGGATGACTCTAGCTCTTGCAGCTGTCCCCACATTAGAAATTAATGTACCCTTTCATTGCTTGTAACGGTCAAATTCAAGTTACCATGTTATTTAAACTATTCTATCTGCCAAATTTAATAATACCCTCATTCACTATGTATATGAAAAATTCAGAACTCTGGCAATTCTATTGGATCCACAGTTCTGATGAATATGTCATACCAGAAATCCATTCCATCGTCAAAGTTTGAATTATTACCATGACAATGTTGGAAACTTTCCTCATAATTAAAGGGGTATTGAAGTTGTATCTCATTTGACATTGTCAAAGATTTTGATGGCATGGTGGTGGTTTCATCCATTGCTGCTGCTTCTGACCAAAAGCTCTCGTCAATTTCAGGCATTGTCTCCAGAGACTCTATGTCTTCACTCTTGATATTTTTGCTTTCACCAACTGTGACTGATGAGAAATCACTTGAAGTAGTAGTGCATGTTGATGTAGTCTCCATTTCAGGGAAATTAACAAGACTGGCAGGTTCTGATTGAGTTATGGTGCTGGAATTGGAATCTGAACGTTTCATTTTTGGTTTAGAGACTCTTTTTGCAACTGGCTTGGTTGGATTTGTTTTCAGCAGCTTCTTTTTCAAATGGGTGTGCCACACATTTTTTATTTCATTGTCAGTTCTTCCTGGTAATTTTGCTGCAATTGCTGACCACCTGAAAATAAGGACCAAAATGATTAATATATTTGTGAAATAATTGCACGAGATTCGCGTTCAATTTATTTACTATATTGAATCAGAAAACAACAAACTTTGATATTGTCTTAATTGAAGATTACATGGACAGTGAATCTCATGCACACATTGGTATGTACGTCTAGCACATTGTAGTTGCATGTGCCATAAACTGCCATACCAAGTTTCGTGCGAAAAAATCATAGATTCTTGCAGCCCCACTTCTTGTTTTTTTAATTTGGTTATGATGTTTTAGATTAATTTTCTTTTTTAAAATAAACCAAAGGTAAAGGGAGGCAATATTGTTCCGGACAAATACATGATTAAGTCTTTAAATTCCTTTCAAAGATGGTATTAGGAAGGATCGAATACATATTCTCACCCTCACCTGCTCCCATGAGCCAATTGAGCTTACCATCATTTGGTAGATTAATTTCTATCTTCCCACTAATGACAACTTAACCTCACTGTTTGTATTTTTTCTGGATATATATACAGCAACATTAGTTATAGCAGCATGTGCCATAGTCGCATATTTTGGATACATTATTTGTCCTTCACTCTTTGCATCACTGCACCATTAAAGGTTGGATCATACCTAGATTTTCTCGCACAATTAATGGCTCTACCCGCGTCCCCATCATGGAATAAATATTAGTTAAAACAATCTTTTCATTTTAATTTTCTTAAAAGTTGACAATTAATGCCCCAATAGTCCCCACCACTTCCACTTAAATCTGGTTTATCTATCATAGAAATGAAAAGAAAAGAAGGATGAACCACACAAAAGCAACTTAAAAAAAAATAAAAAAACATGAAAGAGCATAATGTAAACTAAGAATTGGATTGGAGGCATCATAATATGCTAGCTTTTTGCCGAGAAGTAAACATGAATGTCATATCATATGGATTTGAGGAAGGAAATCCGTGAATACCTGTTCCCCAACATGTCATGGAGCTTAATTATAGTTTCCTCTTCTTCAATTGTGAAATTTCCTCTCTTAATATCAGGCCTCAAATAGTTAATCCAGCGCAGTCTGCAGCTCTTCCCACACCTTAACAAGCCTAACCAATTGATAAGAGAAACCAGAACAAAATCAATACACATATCATATCATATATATAAAAAATGGTGGAAAGTTCAAGAAGCTTAAATTTGTGAACAATCAAGTTTATGGCCATCTAGGCCTGTTATTGTATATTAATATTTAATGTCATAAATTTGTTGAATATAAATAGTAAAGTACCTGATTGCTTTGGAAGAGCACGCCAGTTACCATGGCCATGTTTTTGTATGTAAGAAGTGAGGATTTGATCTTCCTCAGGAGCCCAAGGACCCTTCTTCAATCCCATCTTTTCACAACAAGGAGCTCTCACCATCTTGTGTTTTTGGGAAAAAGATGGAAGAATGTAACTAGTGTGCTATCTATAGCTAGTCTCACTCTAGCTAGCTAGCTAGTTAGTTCCTTCTATCTCTCTCTCTCTCTACTCAAATGGGATTCCTCAACTTCGTTTTGAAAGAGCCATGCTGGCTATTTATCCTTGGATATTCCGCACGCCATGACTAGAATAGTCCAAGACAAGAAAAACATATCTGAATATTCAAACTATTTAGCAGTTTCCGCGAAGGAGGATCTCTCTCTCTTTCTCTCGTGTGAACACACACAAAAAAATAAAAAAATTGGGATTTACAAATTTTTTTAACTTCAAATTCTTACAAATTACACTATATATTATGAATAATATATGCTCAAATAATATGTATTACTCATAATACATAATATAATTCATAAATAAAAAATTTATAAATATAACTTCAATAAAATTAATAGTTTTGTTTATAAAAAAAAAAATTTAATAATTTGTTTATATGACTAAGTGAGACTTTGGAGTTAATAGATTTCGTAACCTGTCACATCTACTAGGGAGTAGGGTGTTAGCGCACACATGGTAATTTGCCAACCAATTGCATACATTTCTATGTACTTAATGTGACGTTGTTTTATGTGTCGACTCAAGTCGATCTATTTTTTTTTTTTTTTTTGATAAACTAACTCAAGTCGATCTTTATTAAGTAAAAGGCGACTAATTCAATTCAAATTGATGATGTTATTAATTTATTCGGAATTTTTGCTTACATAATCTTTTTACAACTCAGAACAGCCAAATTAAGTTTGGTCTTTATTTAATTAGATCTAAACTTAATTTGTAAAATATTGACATGGGTTTATTATCCTATTACTTATCATAAGATTTATTTTAGTTTATTTTTTTGAATTTGGCTTAGTCTTTTAAATGCCTATATTAAATAAACTTGACCTGATCACTAAAAAAACATATTTAAATGCCTATATTATATGAAGACTTTTAATTTTAAATAAATTAAAACTTAAAATTTAAATTAAATTAAACAAAATTAGTATGTTAAATATAAAATTGATATATACTTAATAAATTATGTAACTATTGTAACAATAAATAAATTAAAAAATGTATTTTTTTAATGATTAGGCTTTAGTCTATTTAATCAAACACATCTTATGAAAATTTTATTTTTTTTATAAAAATTTTTCAAGAATGAAAACAGTGCAATATGTTTCACCAAAAAAAAAACGGTGCAATATGAATTGTATATGGACTGAAATTTAGCAAAGCAAAGTACGACTTTTAATGCTTACCAAAAAAAAAAAAAAGTACGACTTTTAATAATATTTTAAGCAAGTCAAGTTGGCCAAATAAAATATCTGGCAAAGTTGAAAGTCAGGAAAAAAAGGAACCAATTGGCGTAAAGGTGCATTTAAATAAGATTAACAAATTATTACGATAGGGACTTTTTAAAAGTTAATTTTCTTACTTTAAAAAAATATTAAAATTAATTTTTATAAAATACAATTATTAATCATTATTATTTAAAAAACAATCAAACAAACAAACGAATATGTCATAGGTGGTTTCATCATGTGGTTTGTCTCTGAATGAGGCCAAAGGGGAGAAAGGCATGCACTCGTAGATTCAGCCACTTGTAATTCAATCACGTGCTTTGATTTCTGAGAGGATACGATACCAAGTCGCCAATGCACTCTGCAATTGCAACCCGTTGTTATATACTCTCATCAGAAAGTGTTAGAGAATAGAAAATATAAAATAAAACTAAAACAGATTTGCATGTAGGCTCTCTGTATTAAATTATTAATTAGTCCTTTTTTTATTTATATGTTAATTATTTTAGATAGGTACCAATCTGATGCTGATTCTTGCGAATATTATTAAACTGATTATATCATGTAAACATTAATTTAATTTGGTACGATTTACCCATTTTTTGCATGGTCATTACTATTATATTTATATATTTTTTTGGTAAGGTATTTTTTATTTATATTTTAGGATTAAAATCACTTATATTTTAACAGTCCAGATTAAAAATGAACTTTGCCTCATGCAATTTATAATTTCGTAATTAATTTAAAAACATAAATAATATGTTATTTTAATATTACTTTTAAAAAGCAGAAAATAACTTCATCACATTTTTTTCTCATCTTTGACATTCTATGTCCCCATTTATTATTCCTTTTTGTTAGAAGAAATCATTTTCTATTTTATTTATCTTTCTCTTATCAAATAAGGTCCTCAAATAATACAATTTTTAATTAACTCTCAATATTTAGTAGTTGTATACATGATTGAAATACGAGAAAGCCTATGTCTCCATGTGCATTAATTATATATGAAAATAACGGGTCTACACGAATGGGTGAAATGGATGAGGAATAGAGGTGCATGTCAAATTTGAAAGGTGGATATTGTGTTTCGGTTAAGAAGTTGTCAATGTTGACATGCTAATATCGTGTTTCAATTATTAAACTGTCTTGTCGACATGCAATTTTATGATGGCTAGTTAAATGCATGAATCATTGCAGATTTCACGATGATATATAGTTTATTTTGAAAGAAGGGGTTTAGAAGCCTATTGTTCGCACACTTTGTATAATTGAAATAAGTCATGACTGTTATTATATATAAATTTTTTTCTTAACAATATAAGTTATACTGGCAATTTATAAAATGTATATATTGTGTGCTATTATACGGACTCAACCTTATAGTAAATAATTAACTTCACTTTTTCAGTATGTTGGTGAGAAAATTTATTTAGAGGATTATTCAAAAATGTATAATATCATATAAAATAAAGTTAGAAAAAAATTAATGTTGGGATTGAATAGAAAAATAAAAAAAACGCAAATATTTGCCATCCTAGGTGCTTATTTATGATTACAAAGGTATCTAATTCTTGGGCCAATTCAAAGGCTCCAAATAAGTCAAAGCAGAGCATGTCACCGGGGCCTTATGTGTCTCTAAGGAGTAATTGCTTTCTAAGGTAAGACGTGTACCTATCAAGCCACATTATTGGAGTGACTGTCATATTATCTATATCACCTTGGGTTGCTACATACACCAAGAACAATCGAATTGAGCAACTCTAGAAGTTGGGAAGTTTTATTCGATTATTAAAATTTAAATTTGACAAAACTCCTTTAGCCTATGAAGCACCGACATTTTAAAAATCTTAACGTGTCGTGTCCGACACTTTCTGACACTCTAATACTTGTTGAAAGACTCAAAGGTTACGTTGCGTTATATTCTGAGTTCTAACTATTAGATTCATTAGATTATAAATACGATTTTATTGAATTTAATATAAATATTTGGGATATATTATGTTTCTTTGCAAAATTGATGGGTATTATAAGTTTAGCTTTATTTTTTTGTTAAATTATTGAATACTAAATATAATATACACTACATAAATTAAAAATATTATATAATATCAAAACGTGTTCTAACGTATCAAAATTTAATATTTTTTAGAATTAAAGTGTCAGAGTATCGTGTCGTGTTGTATCGGTGTCGGTGCAACATAAGGCACAGGTGGCAAGAAGTCTGGCCCCCCTTAACTAGAGGTCTCGAGTTCGAGCTCTGATAATGGGGAAAAAAAAATTTGGGAGAGCCACCCCAAAAGTATCCGACAGTGCTCAATAGAAATTAATCTTCGATTATGCCAGAGGATATACTTGAGATTACTCAAAATTTAAATTTGACATATTCAATTATGGAGAAATTTATAGAAACGTTGTGCTTCGTATGTTACTTATGAACCCACTCATCCACTTTGGTTCAATATTGTGGACCGTTATCATACATTTGGTCACCGATTTGAGTTCATTATAAGGCTACTATTAATAAACTGTGGAGAAATCTAAGTGTGAATGATTGAGTGAAAAAGTTTTACACTGGTTAAGAATGGACTAAGTGAGCATCATATAAATGGAAAGACTCATGCACCTAATACTTTAAGTTTTTTAATTTAATTATAATATTTTGAGTTCATTTAATATTGCTACTCACTTAATTCATAATTGACGGTTTCTTCGCGGCACAAACAATGGCTTATGTCAGATTCCAGAATTCAATATATGGTGTTTTACAATAACAGTGTTAGATCTCATGGCAATAGTTTCTACCATAGGTGGGCCATACTTTCAAAATATGTTGCCACTTTAATTTGCTCGTGTCTGTATTCAACTCGAACTCAGTAAACCTCTCTGGTGTGACTTCCGGTGTTGTAAAGAATTTTGGGATACATTATTCCAAAAGCTAGCTCAAAGGGTGAGAGTGTCCAAAGTCACATTAGTTGTTGTTCATACAACTAATGTGGGACTATATATCTCAACACGCCCCCTTACACAAGAGCCCACTGGGCTTGAAGTGTAGATTATGCACAGGCCCAATTTTTGGTCTTTGTGCTTTTTATTTTAATTCTACTTTAAAGTGGAGGGCGGTGATGATCGAACTAGTGATCTTGTAGTCACTCAAGCTCTGATACCATGTAAAGAACCTTGGGATACATCACTCCAAAAGCTAGCTCAAAGGGTGAGAGTGTCCAAGGCTTTATAAAGGCCACATTAATTATTGTTCATACAATCAATGTGAAACTATATATCTCAACCGGTGTTATGATCATGTATGCCTAATATAGACTGGCCTAAAAAACTGGCAGAAGTGTGAATAATGGATGTACTTAGTTGTTAAAGATTTAATATAAAATTATTAATATAAATTTTACCTACCAACTTAATTTTTTTTGTGAGAAAAATGGTTCATGACACGGTATCAAAGGCTCAATGATGAAATAATACAAAATTTATCCATGCTTTAATCCCTAAAATAACTCCATACAAGTTTGTTATATAAAGGGCTAGCTAGTTTTGTGGTGTGGGGAAGGAGGCTGATGATATAGGTATGTTTAGTGTGAAACAAACTTTTAAGACGTCATTTCTAATTTTCTTTAATAAGTGATGCTGCTGATCTGAGCTTTGTTGTCTTAGCTTAACTTGCTCTTATAAAATTTATATAATCAACATAAACATAAATAGTTTGGTATAATATTTGTAAGTTTCAATT